TTTGGCATTGGTACAACAGCTTGTCACTGGGGCAGTAACCTACAAATGACATCACAATGAAAGACTCATTCATCTCCTCATGATTGGACTACTGCAACTCACTACTCTTTGGCATCAGCTCAACCTACATCAAACTACTCCAACTGGTCCAGAACGCAGCCGCCCGACTCATCACCCGCTCCAAATCCTGCCACCACATCACTCCAGTCCTAAAACAACTACATTGGCTTCCCATTTCCCATCGGATCACATACAAAATCCTGGTCCTTACCAACAAAGCCATGCACCATCTGGCCCCATCATATCTCACTGCCCTCTTCTCCCCCTACTAACCCTCACGGCCCCTCAGATCCACCTCAGCCGGTCTCCTCTGCATCCACAAGTCCAAGCTCCGCAGTTTTGGGGACAGAGCCTTCTCTAGGGTAGCTCCCAGGCTCTGGAACTCCCTCCCCCATGAGATCCGCACCTCTGAGTCCCTCACCATCTTCCAGTTCCACTTCCACCTAAAGACCCATCTCTTCACCTCTGCCTATCCGTAGCTCCACGCCCCTTCCATTTTGTATTTGTGTCTGAATCTATATATTTACCTGCCCTGTAAAGCGACTTTGAGTTCGTGAAAAGTGGTATATAAATCAAATGTATTATCTTTGTACCTTCTTTTTTACTTATTAGTATCTTAGAGTAATACCTTAAAGCTACACTGTGTGATTTTTACCCCCATCTAGCGGTGAAAAGGTATATGACCATCCAGTGAATATTAGTTTCTGTTTCTCTCAATTCCGATTTCGTTTTAACTCCTACGGTGGCCAATGTAGTCCAAGATTAACATGGCTTCCTGTTCGACCTCGTCCATGAGTGTTAACTCAAACGTAAATGCGAAAGGCGAAGCTTGAATTAATGGGTATGTCCCTCTTTGGCTAATGTACATTCAAGATGGAGGGGCAACATGGCGACCAACATTAGAACCCCTTACCCGTATATATTTTCAATGGCATATTATACACTCACAAGAATACTTTATTACTTGAACAAAGTAAATATACATTAATGAGCACATATATTTTTGAAAGAACTAAGTGTTTTTAGCTAAGAATAAACTAAAAGAGTTACACAGCAGTTTTAAGGTACTACTATGAACCTTTTTGTGGTAAAAAAAAAAAGGTACAAAGATGTCCTTTTAAGGGTTCTGCCCCAGTGACAAGCTGTTGTACCCCTAAAGGTAAAATTTGTACACTTTTTTTTCACCTCTGAGCCTGTGCGAACTGTGAATTACCGACAGAAGTGTTTGGTCTTCTGCTGCTGTAGCCCAAAAGATTAAAAAAAAAAAGTTCAGTTTGCACCATAACTGGACAATAAAAGATTGTAAAAACATTGACTTGGATAAGTCTCGATTTCTGCTGCAACATTCAGATAGTAGGGTTACATGGATCCATCCTGCCTTGTATCAATAGTTTGGAGGATATTATCTTGCCTCACTTTGGGCCCCTTAATACCAATTGAGGATCGCTTAAACGCCACAGCCTACCTGAGCATTAGTGTTCTGCAGACCTTGGTTGTAACAAGTGCTTATTTAAGTTACTGTTGCATTTCTATTAGCTCAAACCAGTCTGGCAGTTCTCTGAACTCTGGCACCAGCAAGGCATTTTCACTCACAGAGCTGACACTTTTCGGACCATTCTCTGTAAAATGTGAAAATCTCACCCCATCTGGCACTAACAACCATGCCACTTTCAAAGTCACTTAAATCCCCTTTCTACCCCATTCTGAGGCTCAGTTTTAACTTCAGCAGATCTTGATCATGTCAACATGCCTAAATTAAGTTTATGAGCAGTGGAAAAGTGGCCAGTGAGTATTTATTTTAATTTATAAAATTAATGCATTTTTAATTTGTATCAGTCATTATTTTGATATTTAATTGTTCTGCCTATTTTAAAGGTACAGGTGATTGTAAATAGATAATGCAAAGATCTGTTTTCCATGCAAGCATGCTGTTGTTGTCATGTGCATATACAGTAACAGACATTTGCTGTTTTTTTTTATCAAAACAGTATGGATACAGTTTTGCAGTATATCACACATTTATCAGTTATCAACCGCAACATAAAAATAATTATCACCTTATTAGTATCGGCCAGAATTTGATCACTCGTTTTGAGGGGTGCTTCTGATAAATTGTTTGTATCTTATGAAAAAAAATAATCAATTAAATCAACAGGTTATTGTGGTCTCACCCAATGTACAGTATATGATGACGAATCCTCAAGGCCATTTAGCCATGTTTGAGTTATACAATTGTCACTCCAGAGACCTCACCTTGACCTGTCTATTCTATTATCCTTTCAATGCTATTGTCAGATATACCAATCAGAATATGTTTTATGATCCTAATATGGTAGGGCATATTTTCCTTTTTTTAATCTATTTAAAACACATAACATCATGTGCAGCATTTATCACTGGACAAAAAAACATGTTATAACAATGACTTGCTTAATCCAACAAAACAACAACAAAAAAGAGAACATTATGAGATTCATCTATGTATAACTTTTGTAGCAATCACTACACTCATAACAAAAACAACAACATTTGTTATTCTGGGATTTTCAAATGTTCCTCTCTCCATATAAACACCATGATGGGAAACATATCTGCCATATCCTGCAAGCTGAATTCTGTTTAAATTCAGCCCATCTGTAAATCTCTCTCTCTGTCCAGTTGTATATGCTTGCAATGTTTTATGCATAGTCTCAGCAAAATGTTCTTGGTATCGCTTGTAAAAGTGTGCTACCCATTCAAAACCCCCACAGCTTCAACAACGCATGCGTACTAGGGTGACGAAGTTATATTTTAGTATATCTTCCTTTCTCTAATTTTAGATTTCGCTGTCAGGGTGCTGTTAGTCAAGTAAAAAAACATAAAGTCGTTTTGCTTTGATGTCTTTGTCCTCTCTGATGGTTATACTTCAGTTGCTCCTCTCAGCCAAGAATAGACTACTTGAAAATCTATACAATGGCTCTCTAGATTACGCCTTATTTTAAAATGGCTACATTAAACTACAATGCAATGTCACTATATAAAAAAATATCCATTTACATGCAAACTGTGAAGAAAAACCTACACAGTCTGCTCTATCTAATAATAGAAAGCACAGGATAATGTTCTGTCTCTATAAATAATGCAGATTATGGAAATGATGTGTTATCACAAACATGAGCATTGTGATAATTTGTTGATAATTTGTTTATATATATTTATTTTTTTGCAGGATATAAAATTGCTGTGATAGTATGAGAGACTTCTTTACAATGTCTTACACACACACACACACACACACACACACACACACACACACACACACACACGCACACAGAGAGTTTACGGAATATGGACAACTAATAGGCTATAAGCTTTGTATTTAGAGGCAGTATTCACTATTCAGACCCAAAAATATGCAAAAATTCAAATCCAACAACGAACAATGAATTAACTCCGTCCTTATAATACCATATACAAACAGCAGTGGATTTTTCTTCAAACATTCAGGATATGTACACTCTTAAAAATAATGGTTCTTTATTGGTATCTATGGTTCTGTGAAGAAACATTTATATCTATGGAACCTTTCCATTTTAGTCTCTAAATTATTTCAATTTTTAAAATGTTCTTCACAATAAGAAAAAAAAAATTATTTTAAGAACTGTTCACTAAAAGGAAACCCCAAAATAGTTCTAGAGTGTAGTATCATATAGTGGTCTATGTATTCTGGCTTTGATAAAACAAGCAAGCTTTTGATTGTTAACTTAACACTATATACACGTATGAAAAGTTGAGAGAAATACACTATTAAAAGCAGCATCACTCTTACTGGCTTAAACATAGATGCTATAATACATTATAGGTTTCAGTAATAAAATAATGTTGTGTTTTTTTGTTTTTTTTACCTTATTATAACCCTTGTGACATAGGCATCTCATCTCAGCAGGAATCCACAATTACCCAGCAAATAACACACTATCCTTCAACTGTATAGGTGTCTTTTTTAATGGCCTCCTGGAGACATTAAACACAAGACTACATGACGGCACTGTCCACTAAAACAGGAAGCAATTTAGCTTCCAACAGCAGCCAACTCCACATAAATTACTGACCTGTGGGCAAACCTCATGTTGATATAAAGCATAGAATGACAGACACTTCCACAATATCTCTAACAAAACCATGTATATATTACTTACATGTGTTCCTAAAAACATGTTTAGATCACCACAAAACCAATAAGCCCTGTTTATGAATGTGTTCAGTGTAAGTAATAATGATTAAAATAATCTTGTGATGATGTTTCATTTTTGAACATTTTTTGATTTCTGGTGCACAATGACCATATTTTAACAAATACTCTCCACAAGGTCAGATACAGTCTTTCTCTCTGTGCTGTACAAAGTGAGATAAATAGGCCATGTCAAATTAAACAATCTCCAAAGTGAGCAGATTAAATGCATTTAAATGTATTAAATTAAAGTGTAAAATCATGTGTGTCAACTGCCTACATAGGCACTGTTAGCAGACACGTGGGGAAATAACTGCAACAACAACAAAAAAACTCAGCTTACCTAAAACATAGTTGACATGTAATTAAGTACTAGCCTGCTCAGCCGAACACGATCAATAACAAGTGCTTGATTCCTGACACTTGATCAGATCCGGTTGATCAATTTTTTGGAGGGCATGAGGATTATTGCTACTCCTAGTTAACAGGCCTGAGTGAGCACGGTAAAAATTCCATCCCCTATGTTCCATCCTTCCTCATGAATTACGCCGTTCTACTACCATCTAGTGGACAAGAGCGTGTACTACACTCTTTTAGCATTATCTCACAGTAAATTATGGCCAATGAAGAAACTAATAACCTAGGAGATATCTCCTGCAAGCTTCTATATTTTATTTTTTTTAAATACGTAAAGCCTAAAAACTGTGAGGATTGTTTTTAGTAGTAGCCAAGTAGTAGTACTACTAATAATAATAATACTATGTAACTGTTGCAATATACTATCAATGGTAATAATATGAGTACTTTAATATTTCGTCAAAAGTCATCCTTTAGTGAACCCGACTCAGAAACCCGCGTGAATCATCGTTTAACCAATTAAAAACGATTATGATTCTTTTACGTCATGTTGTAACTATCATCGCGTTCTCCTAAAATATGGGGACTTATTAAAGCTTCACTTAAATGCTCTGTCGTAACTTCTCTTCTCATTATGAATCGGACATGTCAGATTGAGTTGGTTTTCCGAACTTGATGTGTTGATTCGGTTGATTCCGGTAGATTCAATAACCGCGCAGACCGTTTGTTTGGACAGATTCAGTAAAAAGATCCGACTCAAAAACAAAACAATATATGATTCGTTCACGAATATTGCTCGTTAAGGACTGAGGCGATGTGTGTTAGCTATAACGCTTTTCCGTTATAGGTTAAACTTATGAACGTTTGATTTTTTTCCACTGTTCATTTTTCAGAACTTTCCTACTTTAACGTTACTATCCACTTGTTTGGTTCAGGAAAACTTTAATGATTTTAATTTGAACGTCGTCACACACATTCGAGGTCTGAAGAAGGATTAATTGCAACATCAATACTTTTGATTAGCTTCTGTGCGAACTGAAGAGACAAACATAAGCATGTTTAAAGACAAAACGGCATGGTTCTCCAGCAGTGTTGGAAAGGGGCTAACTAGCTTCTGGGGTGAGATGAGTATTTGGTTATAAGCTTCTAAAATAACTCAATTAAAGAAATGAACGAATCTATTAATTAATATTTTTTTAATAAGTTAATCTGATTTTATATCAGGTTTTAACTTGAAATATGAGCAAGTTACATTGAATACTTGTCTATCTTCTTTTAGTTTCTGAAGGGGGAGCTCTTTCTTCCTGGAAAACAGCAGATTACCTCTTCAGTAATGATGCCTCTTCTGAAGACACTAAAAGGTCTATTTAGTTTACTGTGGAAATCTTGTCTTAGGGTTACTTGGTCATGCTTTTAAAGAAGCTTTAAAAGTAACAGAATATGCATGGATTGTGTGTTTTGAATTTAATGCAAAGAAAAGTGGTTTTGTGGCAAATAGGCCAGCCTATAGGATGTCATTTAATCCAAATCTACTGTACCCTAAACCCCTGAAAAACAAGTTTTACCTGATTTCTTTTTAGGATATATAACAGTGAGGACTATATAAAGAACAGGGCAACAGTTTTCCACTGCAATTTCCTGTCAGCATGTAAACCTCGCCAGAGTGTAAAATCTGTGCCTATTGGCCACTACGTGCTGCCTCCAGACTCCATCCAGAATGGTGAGCTGTTCATTCATTTTAGTGACGAGATCCAATGTAAAGAATGAAATGAGCTACATTTAATATTTCATAATTACTGTTTCAATTTCTCTCTTTAGAAATGAGAGTGCTAATTGGAAGGTTCATTTGGGAAACGGATGAACAGGTAGGAGAACATGCTGTAGTTAAACCTGTGTCTGGCTATTCTTCGTTGTCATTTGTTAGCTTCTCGGTTGTTATTTATTAAAGGTGATGTGTGAAGAACAAAAAACAACCAAAATGTCTGAAGACAGTCTATCCGATGAGACTGAAGATCCACCAGTGAGTGAGAAAAACAGGTATGCTTTAACTTAACATTTAGTTATATCTGAATTTATTATAGATTTTGGGCAGAATGCATAAATTCGTTGTAGTGAATTTTATTTTTAAATACATATAGTAGTTTTTTTCATATTGTTCCTCTTCAGTTGAAAAAAAGACAGAACGGATGCCTAAATATTACTTTGACTACCACAGTCCTTTATCTTTATAACAACCTGGTGTAACCTCATGTTCATGTTATCTATTAGCCAGGAAGATTACCAGTCTGTTGCATCACCGAACAAAGTGTGTTCATGCTGTGAGATGCGGCAGTATCCTGTAAACAACATGATCTCAGGTAATTACTTAACACATAAAACTGACACCCTACTAAAGTTCTCACATTTAGAAACTGTTTATTGTTCTGTCTCTTTTTCAGGGTATGCTCATATCGACCAAATGAAGAAGTATTTAGGGGAACTTTATGATTTTCATCCCTCCCTCCATGGCCATAATGTTTCGAGATCTAATAATGTGACACCTCCTTATTGTCACAAAGAAATGTAATATAACGTGCCTCTATAAATCCACTTTTTTGTTCTTTATATGTTTCACTGACAAAAGTAATTAATGCAACTGGATGTTCATTCTCAGTTTCTGCTCATCTCATATTAAAATGCTTCTTCAGTAAATCACACTTTTCCCAGCAATATGAAATCCAGTCCCTGTACGTGAACAGAGGTGATTTGACATAGGTTATAGAGAATAGTAATAGTAATATTACAAAATAAAAGTGTATATGCTTGAAACAAAGTGTGTCTCTGATTATTTTCTGTTGATGGTTAATTACCTTCCAGTGAGGTGGCCTATCCATTAAAGGATTTTCTCTGAGGTCCAGTTTTATAAGACTGCTGAAACCAGGGATTAAGTAATCCTCCAGTGATCTGATGCTGTTAAATTTAACAGACAGGATCTGCAGATTTGCCAAGTCTGGAAACAGATGTAAAAAAATTTGCACATGAGCAAAAAAAAAAATAACCATTACCGATAATAACAAGAGTGAAAGAGTAACTATTAGTCCTCTAAGGCCTGGTTTCACAGACAGGGTTTAGATTAAGCCAGGATTAATTATTAGATCAATAAGAGCATTTAAGTAGCTTTTATAAACATGCCTTAGAAAAAAAAACATTACTGTGTGCATCTTAAGACAAAATAATTGCACTGACATATTTCAAAATGTATCAGTTAAGTTGCTTTGAGTTAAGACAGCTCAAACATGTATTATAGGCTGGGACTTGGCTTAAGCCTTATCTGTGAAACCAGGGGTAAATGTTAGGGGTAAACCAGGGGGAGGGGGAGTATATGCCATAAATAGTAATTTCATTAAGTGGGAAGTTTCTAACCTGTTAGTTCAGTAGGGATGTGTGTAAAACAGTTCTTGTCCAGGTTCATGAAGACCAGAGACTGTAAGTGATTCACATCTTTTGGGAGGTCTTGAAGTTTATTATCTGCTAAGTTTAACCACTGCAAACTGTTGAGGGCTCCAAGTTTTGATGGCAGGTGTGTAATATTATTATTATGGAGCCCAAGTTTCTGTAACTTGCTGAGTTTACCAATAGATAATGGTATGGAGATGAGACCACATCCAACAGCCCAGAGCTCTCTCAGTTCTCTCAGGTCCCCTACTTCTTCTGGGAGAACAGATAATGGATTGTGGTTTACACCCAGGTAAGTCAGGTGTTTCAGTGAACCAATGTTACTAGGAAGAATGGTCAGCTGGTTACTATCCAGTGTCAGTTCTTCAAGCTGTTCCAGGTGTAGAATCTAACAGGGGAAGATTTCTGATTGCATCATTATTGTTATTACTATATTATATGATAAGTGCAACGAATTCATTCACTTTACGCGTAACGTTAGCATTTTTTTTAAAACAACGCACATACGTTTGGGGATAAATTGCGTACCTCGTCTGGTGGTAAAATGAGCTGATTGTTGTTCAGAAACAGTTTTTTCAAGGTAACGAGTTTCGAAACCCCACGTGGCAAAACAACTAGACCCCGATTACTCAGGTTTAGACTCTCCTGTTGTTGGTTGATACATTCCAGTACCATATCATCTCCGTTCATTTTGTTTCATTGGAAAAAAAAAACACATACAGGAGGTAGTGTAGGCGCATCACCATAGTAACAGACAACTTCCGGCAGGGGGCTGAATGGAAATAAATGGTAAGATTAAAAAAATAGTAGAAGAAAATTCGGGGAAAATTTGTCCATATTTGTATAGTTAATTTTTATTTATTGACATTTTAATAACAATTTCAAAATGCAGAAACTAGTTTTTTTTCTCTCCATGTTTTTGTACAGACTGAACTCTGATTGCACAGTGCGCAGTTTTGATGTTATTGAATGAGCTGAGAAAACAGGAAGAAGTGGAATGCCCCAAGAGGCATACGATTACGTAGAACTCAAATTCGACCGCTCCAGACACGTCGGCGCGCCCGCCATCTTGGAACAGTCAGCGTGTCTTCACTCACAGTATAAGAATCAACGATGCTACAACATTGCGGAGATTGATTCTGGTTGTAAAAAACACCAATATTTAATTTATACATTTTACAGGTATATATGTTTTATATGTAGTAACTCAATATTAAAAGGGTTTAAACTATGGTAAATTTAATATTGTTGAGTTAGCTGACGTCTTCCTCTTGTGTTAGTTTAGCAAAATCATCTGCTGAATTCTGTTGCACTGTGTTTGCAACTTACTATTTGACCGGCGTTGACCGTTGCAATATGGCGGACGACCCTTTGAAACTGCCGCTAATAAGGCTTCTATGCATAAAATCTATGTGCGTCGTTGCGCATGTGAGCGAAAGGGTGCATGATCCGTACAGGAGCCAGCCAAATAATAAGTAAATGAACTCTGAGAACACGCGTTGTCGGAAGTTTTTTTGTACGTTTATACGAGAATAAAATGGATAAAGACAACCTCTCCGTAGTCCTGCACTCTAAGGGAGATCTCAGACTGGTATGACATTGCATGCGTTTTAGTGTAGATCTTAAACTCTGATTGCATTTGGAATTAATAAAAGTAGACTTCAATGTATATTTAACAGGAACAGCGTCCGATCCCGGAGCCAGGACCAAATGGTATTGATTTGTGATTAAGCAATATTTCTAAATGCTTTGCTATGAGATGCACATTTTAGCATTCATATTCATATCCCGGGCTTCTTCATTGAAGATGTGTTACTTCAGATGCACTCTGTGGGCATTTGTGGATCAGATGTGCACTATTGGCAGAACGGTCGCATCGGGGACTATGTGTTGAAACAGCCCATGATCCTGGGACATGAAGCCTCTGGTCGTGTGGTGAAAGTGGGATCTGCTGTGACTCACCTCAAACCAGGTCTGACTTTGCCTTAGTTTGTGATATTATGGCCTGGTTTCACATACAGTGCGTAGATTGAGTCAGCCAGTCAGGATTAGGTTTTAGTTTAATTATAGCATTTAAGTAGCTTTTATAAACGTGCATTAGAAAAAAACACATTACTGGTGTGCCACTTGAGACAAAACAATGACACTGACATTTCTAAGTTATGTCAGTCTAAGTTTCTTTCATTAAAACAGCTTAAACATTCATTTTAATCTTAAGCCTTATCAGTGAAACCGGGGATATAACAATTAAACTTGTATTAAGTTTGTCTTTCATTTTTGTACCCAGGAGACAGAGTTGCAGTTGAGCCTGGAGTTCCTCGTGATGTAGATGAGTTCTTTAAATCTGGACACTACAACCTCTCTCCCAGCATATTCTTCTGTGCCACTCCTCCAGATGATGGAAACCTGTGCAGATACTACAAACACAACGCTAGCTTCTGCTACAAGTCAGATCACTATTTCTGGACGAATTAGAAATCCATGGTCCTTTAATTCTATGCATCATAATCATATATATGGCTGTGTGCATGCAGACTTCCCGATAATGTGACTTATGAGGAGGGAGCCCTGATCGAGCCCCTGTCAGTAGGTATTCATGCCTGCAGGAGGGCAAGAGTCACTCTCGGAAGCTCAGTGTTTGTCTGTGGTGCAGGTCAGCCATCTGTAATGATTGCACATATTTATGCAACTGTTACATATTAACTAGTCAATGTACACTCATTGAACAACAGTAATGACCTCTGTCTTCTGGGGCTCTGCCTCTTGTGTATCAGCACTGTATATAATTGTTGCTTATTAATCTAATATCCCAGAATTTTTTTATAAAATGTGTAACTGGTTATAGCAAACAAAGACTGTGTGTGTGTGTGTGTGTTTTAATCTACATAGGACCAATTGGACTAGTTTCTTTGTTGGCGGCCAAAGCCATGGGTGCTTCACAAGTAATAATAAGTGGTAATGTATTTATTCACTATGTATACAATGTAATAATATATGTACGAATTGTGCATAAAATACGTTTTTAATCTGTATTTGTAGACTTGTCCACTGATCGGCTTGCCAAAGCTAAAGAGATCGGAGCAGACTTCCTGCCTCTTGTGAAAAAAGAGGATACACCTCAGGACATGGCCAAAAAAGTGGAGGGAATGCTGGGTTGCATGCCTCAAATCAGCATTGAATGCACTGGAGTGGAGAACAGCATTCAAACAGCCCTCTATGTAAGTTTGATTACAAAAGGTTTCACATTATTGGAAAACATTTTGCTGTCATATCTGTTTGAGTGTTTTGACCTAATAAAATGTTTTTTTGTCTAGGCTACTCGTTCAGGAGGAGTGGTGGTGTTGGTTGGGCTTGGTAATGAGATGACCACCATACCCCTTCTCAATGCAGCAGTCAGAGAAGTTGACATCAGAGGTGTATTCCGTTACTGTAATACGTAAGTTGGATCACTAGGGTTAGAGATTTACTTATGACTGTATAATGACATTTATGACATTTTTTGTGTTGATATTACTCTTTTGCACACTTTTACCTATGATACGTTATTGTTTTTCCAGCTGGCCGGTAGCCATTTCTATGTTGGCGTCTAAGAAGGTGAACGTCAAACCCCTGGTCACCCACCGTTTCCCGCTGGAGCAGGCTGTTCAGGCCTTTGAGACCACTCGTCAGGGTCTTGGGGTTAAAGTCATGTTAAAATGTGACCAGAATGACCAGAACCCATGAGATCAACTACTAGACCCACATCTGATTATTGCCTTGTTAAAGTCACTTCAACAAATTTGTTTAATCCAGCAAGTTTTGAGAGTAACCTCACTATTGGTCTCGGGTTCAGCAGTCACAGGAATTTCACTGTGGATTCAGTTATGTATCATTTAAATTGCATTGTAATTTACTGTATGAATCTAGGATTTTACATTAGTAAAATGAATATAAATAAAAAAATATAGAATCATAAATGTTCATGTCTTTTTATGTAACATTGTCAGTGCAGTTTTTAATGGCATATAATAGCAGGTCATTTTTACTATTTAATTACCCTAATCTTTTTCACAAACAATTAACCTTATCTATTTATCGTACTTGTTTGACAACTTGCTTGTCTGTGTAGTTACTCTAAATACAGTACTGTTTGTGAGCTATTTTTGTATATATATTTTAATTTTAATATTTGGTCTATATTTAATTTTAGCATAATAAGTCAAAGTTGTTCAAGTAGTCCACAACTGGCCATCTTAATCAGTGAATATATGGAGAAAAACTCATTTATACAACTTGGATTGCACTTGCCATTTATACTGTATTTGTAGACTTGTCTGTATTTTTAACAGGACCAGCATCCATTTCCTGAAATGGAAGCAAATGGTATTGGTTTGTGACTTTTATTGGTGATTAGCACTTCGATCTGCATTGAAGTGTTACTTTAGATGCACTCTGTGGGCATTTGTGGATCAGATGTGCACTTGGCAGAACGGGGGCATTGGGGACTCATTCTGTATACAACGGGACAGAATTGGAGTTGAGCCTGGAGTTCCTCATGAAGAAGATGAGTTCTTTAAATCTGGACACTTGAGTTCTCAAATCAATGGTCCTTTAATTTCTATGAGTAATAATAATCATAATACTGTGTGCAGGCTTCAGAGGGAGCCTTGATTGAGTCTATTTGTCTGCAGTGCAGGTCAGCCATCTCTATATTGCACATATTTATGCAACTGTTACACATTAACCAATCTGTAATGAACTCTTGACTTATTGACCATTTTTTTAGTGTGGCAGCAGCACTGTAAAAGAATAGTTGCTTATTAATTTACTGTAATATCACTGTATACTTTATTTTTAGAAATGTCATCTCTGTTTATTCTCAACTGTTTTAATCATTGTTAGTTGTTTTTATTGTTTTAATTTCTTCCATGTAAAGCACTTTGAATTAGCATTGTGTATGAAATGTGCTATATAAATAAACATGCCTTGCCTTGCCTTGTCTCTCAGATCTTTATTCTTGCCCATTTCTCCTGCATCCAACATGCTGATTACGAGAACTGTGTCACGGGTGTGGAGCAGGCAGAGGAACAAGGAGACCGGAGTAGCGGGGAGAACAGGGTTTATTCCATAAATTCAGGCAGGAAGACAGTGTAACACCAGGTAACATTAAACATTGACCGACAAGGACAGAATGAAACAGAGGAAACTAAATACACTGAGGAATCAGGGTTAATGAGGTGAAGACAGGTGATACAGATGAACAGGACGCTGAATGGGAGGCTGATGAGGGAGTGAGTTCAGGTGTGCAGACGAGAGGATCATGGGAAGTGTAGTGCTGGAGACGCAGACAGGATGGTGCAGACGAAGGACTGTGACAAACTGATTGTTTACCATCTAATCTACCAAACATTAATGTGGTCACGTTAAGAGACGATCATTAATAATTGCTTTATTGTGTTACAGTACGTGTTGCTTTATATATAAAACAGTTTGTTGTTTACACCTTTACATTTTGTGCAGAGTAATGAAATATTATCCTCAGACCTTTTTGTGCTTATGATGGTGTTTTTGTCTATAGGCTGCTCGTTCAGGAGGAGTGTCTGGTGGTGTTGGTTGGGCTTGGTCCTGAAATGGCCTTGTACTGAGATGTTGTTTTTAAACAGATAATCTTTACTAATTTAATCTCATACTTTTGAGCTACATTAAACGGTATATATTTTAATTATGCTCATTTTTGTCAGTGTTCATGAAAGTATTGTAGTGCATTTGAATAACCACTAGGCTGAGCAGTGATCTGTAAAATTGGAGAACAGCAATTAAAAACCCACACACACTTTAATGGATATCATGTCTCACAATCTTGCTATAAAGATCGGCAATGCCTCTTTAATCTCCCCCAAGATCAGATAAAGGAGTTTTACTATTGAGTGTTTTCTTCCCTTATTCTTTCCTTGACTATGTCAAAGCCTGGACAGCTTAGCTTACTGAACTGATTTCCAACTGTGAGACTCAAATCTATGTTCATTTGGACCATAATATGAGGTGTGAGAGCTGTTTTACAGTTTTGGAAGCTGGCCGATGTTAGAGGCGGTTGGCATGGATTTTGACTCAAGCCTCAAAGTTGTACTGTATGACCCACTCAGGCTTCACTACTTTAAGCAATTCTTTATTTCCCAAACACACCGAGCAAAACTGCCAGAGAATCAAGCTAAAACAACATGAAGGGCTTATGTAACACTTTATTGTTATTTTGCCATAGTGTCATTTTAAGATGCATGCAGACAGGTATTCATGTTCATGTATTATTAGCTGTTTCACAATTCATCGTCAAAAGCTTTCTTACGCGGCGGTAAGGCTTTTGGTCACAGTGTCTTCTTATTTCCCCAAGGCCAAAGCCTCACAAAGATAAAATGGAACTAACAGTGATTCCTACATGGACACAGTACTAAACCAGGTTAAACGTTTATGTACAGACATTCTAATACTGCTTAAGGAAGTGGACACACTATTAACAACACTATTACATTCACCACTGACTCAAATGAGTTGCAGCTGTGCATACACAAAAAAAGCACACTTAAAAAATAAACTCTTACATTTCATACAATGTTTTTGTGTTTGAAACAAAACTCATTTACAGCATGGCAAGAGAATGTTTGATTATTACAGCATGGGAGAAGTCCAAAATTGTTTACACACTGTATTTTACAAAAGATTTGACAAAAAAACAAACCAAAAAAACGACTCAAAATGTGCTGTCTTTAATGCCCACTAGATGACATTTACCCGTTGAAGGCTGGCGATGTGGAACGATTCTCTTCTGTTGATAAAGTCCCTGCTGATACTAGTCAGTCTTGCAAAGTTCACTGTACGATGTGTACGGATTACACCTGTACTTCTTGAGCATTTCCTAATGTGTCATGCCACATACAGTAATTATTTGCTGCTGTAAGTTCACTTATGTTAATGTAGGGGGGCATGTACTGGTTCAGTGAGCATTGTAATGAATTTAAAATTCAATGACACCTGAAATGAATCAAGTATAATGTCCAATACCTTGTTTTTAATAATAAAAAAGTCTTATTAATAGAAACAAACATTCTGGAATGGTAACTAGGCGTGATGTTTTGGGCTTCTACTGTCTGGACTTCTCTCTCTGGCTTTTCCATTCCTTTCTGATATTGATATAATGATTACATATTTACAAAAAAAACTTGCATCTCTCTAACAATGTCCACACATACATAATTGTAAATAAATTAAACAAGAATAGCATCAAAATAAAATGTACAAAGCCCCCCCCCACACACACACACATACACACACCTTACTGTACATTATGAAGAAAGGACTTGAGATGCATCGACTCCATCTTCATCTGACAATGCACACACCCCGAGAGCAGACATAACACATCAACAGAATCCACACTATGCAGAAATGACACACCATATCTCTTAAGTAATGTTAGCAGACAGCAAGAGTGATGGATGTTATTTTTGGTGAAGATAAAAAGAGAAAGGTGACTGCTGCATTCGAACATTTGCCAGTGCCCGGGGTTGTGTATCTCAGCCAAATCCAACTCAGATCATATATACAAAGGAGTCTCCTGACCAGTTAAGAGTCTAAACATGGCGGCTGGCATAGTCTTCATGTGGATCTGTTTCAAGACAAGGAGATCTTTTACTACAATGTAATTAATGCTAACACATCGCATCTAACATAAAAAAAAATGTTTATATTATGTGTGTTTATACACACACACACACATCTATATATTATTTACACAAACTTTTGTTAGATGCAGTTTATTGTAATTGATCGATTTGACAGCACTATATATAATATATTATAATATAATAATACTATTCTACTAAATACTTAACACAGTATTATTCAACACTAATTAATATATATATACACTACCCATTAAAGGTCTGGTGTCAGTTAAGTGACACTTTTATACAGCAAGGATGCATTAAATTGCTCAAAGGTGACTGTAAAGACATTTAGGCTATCTTACAAAAAAAAAAAAAAAAAAAAAAATCAAACAAAAGCTGTCCTTTGAAACTTTCTATGCATCACAGAATCCTGGATCACAGTTTCCACTAAAATATCAAGCAGCACGACTGTTTTCAACATTGATAATAATAAGAAATGTTTCTTGAGCTCCAAATCATCATATTAGAATGATTCCTGAAGGATCATGTGAGACTGGAGTAATGATGCTATAAATTCAACTTTGCCATCACAGGAATAAATTACCTTTTAAAATAGATTCAAACAGAAAACAGTTTTTCAAATTACCGTTTTTACTGTATTTTTGATCAAATAAATACAGTCTTGGTGAGCAGCTTGCTGACTTATTTCAAAAATATTTTAAAAAATCGTACCAACTGCAAACTTTTGAACGGTAGTGTATGTGTAGTTCTCACCTCGCCGACAGAATTGGAGAGAGCTTGGACGATCTTCTCGTGTGCCGTTGCAACAACACTTTGGCCGTTTATCTCAATAATGCGATGACCAACCCGCACGCCTCCTCTCTCTGCAATCCCTCCACGCATTAGACTGCAGATCTGAGAGCACAAAACAAAAGTTGCACTTAATACTGTAGTAGCACTTATATATGAGGCGTCACGTAGGATTTAAATCAAACTTCGCTTTGACACACCTTTAAATTACTCGCATATACTTGTACATGTATACAGTAGTACTATTGGAGGTTCAATATTCATATATGAAATACACGTACACACTAATATGAAATACATACCAATACATATTATGTTAGTAATGAATGCATATACACTTGTGAATAACTTGCATATACATGTAAAGTTGACATACGCATACATCTATAAATACTCGCATATACATATAAACTTCCATGCATGTACACCTATAAACACTCGCATATACAGTACACAGAAACCCGATGCGCGCATACACATAAAGTAAAACGTGGATGCA